TTTAACTTGCGCACCAATTACGGTGCTCTCCCGGACTTTGCCTATGGAGGTACGCAGGGCTGTGGTAGGGACATCTATCAACCGAACGCGTCCCCGTACACACAGCACTGTACGCAGGGCTAATTGTGGAACATCTCGACCATCTCGAAACCATAGTTAAACAATCAACACAAAGCCAGCGTAAAGACAAGATTGACTTTAATAGAGCTACCAGGGTTGTATCAAATGTATTTCCTGTGACGGATCTTGAGGTTCTTTCATTATTTTGTTTCTCATGCTAAGCACAACTTTCTATCGCAGATCTATCTGTCTGTGCCGTTTTGTTTGTGTTAAACGAACGACACAGATGGTTACATTGTCGGTCATTGTCACATAGTCTGGAATAGATTAGATTTCTGGAAAAATCCTTAAGTTCAGGCAATTTTATATTTAATATACTACCAGAAAACCCACACACCAGATTCAGATTTCTAATTCATAGGCCGAACACTGTATTGTCGTCACCATCAGCATCACAGGCAGCCAACAAAGCTGTCGCGAGATGATCAGCTGCGGGTAATCGATCGCCGAGCGGTACACCGGTGATGAAGTCATTTGACCAATTATGAGAAAAAGCATGATTCTATTTCAGTAACCGGAATGAGCAGATAACAATATTAACAAATTAGATTGTACGATGATACTGATATACTTACCATAATAACTTGGGCGGCATTTTCGAGTTCAGTTTGAATATTCGCCGCGGAGGCCGCCATCTTGTGTGTTTCTTTTGTTGCGCAGGCGCAGCTGATTGTCAGGTCATAGTTCAAAGGTTCCCCCATAAGCAGCCAACGAACGAACCAGACGGGAAAGTGAACTTGCCCAGTTATGACATTTTTATTGTTTTATTAAATAATGATTTTGAACTAGACAGTTTATATTATATAAACGTTGTTTTTTATTTCTACGCCAAATTATCGTAAGTAGGGAATGCTCATTTAACTTGATCAGTATTCTACAAAAATGCTATTATAGCTTGGCACGAAGCTGGAGGTGGTACCTCAATAAATATAAATAAAAACATTGAAAACAAAATATTATGGTGTAATAAATGGATACAGTTGCATAGTGAAACATTTTATTACAAGTCAAAGGTCAATTCAAACATCATATTTGTAAGCGAATGTCATTGATGACCCTGGTAATGTAAATACATTTTGGACTATAAACTTTGAACCCTACTGCGAAATTTAAAGGGCGGTGATCGATTTGTGTTGATAAACATTGATTTCCCCACAATCCAATGCGCCCTTCTAATGAAAATCACAAGTATAAAGTTTGACCTGGGCGCGACTTGCAAAAATTACTGCGGCGAAACCTTCGATACCTTCCAATCACCTAAAAATACCCAATTTAAGCTAGGTAACGTCTCAGTAGTCAAATTCGCCATCTTTGTTTATTCCATGAAACCCATACATCTCGCGCATGCGTGGCGCGACGACTACCGCCCTTTAAAATGAAAACACACTGGGGAATAAAATATTCATGATAATCAACGCGTTGCCGAAACAATGGCTCAATATACCACTGAACAACCGAATTTCACATACTTTGATGCATACATTGGTTTCTGTAATGTTAGTAAAAATCACGAAAATCTGAAAGATGTTCACCTCGTAACAACACGAGACTATTATTGGTCCCTTGTGAGTGTTTGTCACACCTTGAATAACAAATAAATTGGACAAGGTTGTTGGTATCACAAAAAGTAATTGGTCAAAAATATGGCTAAGTCCAACTATTAAACTTACCTCAGAGAGACAATTGTGCAGTTTTATATATAAATTGCTTTATCTTTCTCATAGATTAAATCTATACAAGTGGAAAATAGATGAAGAAAAATTATCTTCGTTATGTAATGTAAACAACGACAGTGAACATCTCTTCATCAATTGTAAAAGAGTAAAGAGTTTCTGAAAGCAAATAGAAACTTGTTTGGTTCAAATACACAATTGTACAGCGACTATAACTATGCCAACACTTATATTTGGAATGAATGGTTACAGTCAGCGTGAACATCTGTTGATTGTAATTGCAATGTTCACAATTTATGAAGTCGTGGCTGCTCCACAAGAGTAGTGCAAATTTTAATAGCGTTACCATATTCTTCTTTGAGCTCAAAATGAGATCGTAACAAAATTTTTTTTTGCCTTGTATTTGTTTCCAGTAAGGCCACACTGATTTAATTTTATGGATGACATCCTCTGGAGACCCCAAAACTAATGCGAGAGGGCGAGAAAAAAAATGCTGTCAAAAAAAAAATCCTGCTAAAACCACAGGACTACGGTACTGCTATTACGAATTGAACCACAGAACACAATGTATGTAAAAAACAACAAGAAGTCTTTATTTGTAGGAGACACATGTTGATATACACATCTCGTACTGTATTACTGTCACAGGTATAACCATTTCAGACAAGCTCTAGTACATGTAGTCATGATGAAGTACCTTCAGTCAAAAACACTGCATTCAAGGTACAACATGAACATCATTTTCAGTACAAGTCAAGGCGGAATGTACATATCACTACTTTATG